TTAAGAAGTGTGTAAGTTTGGAATGATCAAGGTAAACCAAGAAATCCTTCAGGGATTTCTTTATATAGAGAAGGTTGCTAGAGTAATTTGCAAGTTGAAATGATATTTACCTTGGTTTGTGTGATGTGGATAAGATTGTGCTAATGAGAGGATGACACATGGAGGCAAGTGGGCACACTTGACCCACTTGTGGGGTAGAATACTCCCTTAATATAAAACAATGATTTTTAATTAATAAATCCTTGAGAAATGAATAAAAATATGAGTTTTGGGGGTTTAAAATGGTAAAAATATGAATTTGGTGAAAAATCCCCGTAAAAAACGTCAAAAACGGGCTTAGTAAGCGAAAGTAGTCGAAAACCGGAAAATAGGAGCGAACCTGCGAGGTTCGGTCCTTAGAAGGTGAGAACCGAGAGAAGGGAGAAGGGACCAAAGGGAAGCGAGAAGGAACCGAAGGTGGCAGCAACAAGGAGCAAAATGGACCGAAGGTGGCAGGGAACCGAAATGGACCGAGGGCTCGGTCTATTTTGGGTGCGAGAGGGTTCGGTCCTTTATGCTCAGTTCGGTTCTCAGGCTTCGGTTCGGATTGGGCAGTTCGGTCCTGAGGGACCTTCGATCCTAATAGGAGTGTTTCGGTTCTAAGAGGTTCCTTCTAAGAGGTTCGGTTCCTAAGAGGTTCCTTCTAAGAGGTTCGGTTCCTAAGAGGGGTTTCAGCCCTATTTAGCTGATTTTCAAGTTAACTTCCCGTTTCAAGCGGTTTTTGGCCAAGTTAAGGGTCGAGATGACCCGGATGACTATAAAAAGTTGAGAGAGATTTTGAGAGAGATTTGGGAGAGATTTGTTTTTAGCCATTATTATTGTATAATCTCGTAATGCAAGGTTTGTGAACCTCGTTATGCTTCGTTTATGATTGTTTTAAGTCCCCGAAAGGGTCCTTAGTCGTGTTTTGATGCATTTAACTCCCTTTTTAGGGTTTTACATTGCTAAACACATTGAATATCCGAAACACTTGAATTCTTGGCATACCAATACACATTTTTTTATAGAATAACTTTTCACATACATGTATTAGTTAAGTTGACCCGTTTGACTTGTTGACTTTGACTTTGACTTGTTGACTTTGACTTTGACTTGAATTTGATGGTTGTCACATTCATTTAGCCATGCATGAACGTAAAGTTAGCAACTTTACGTGATAATCCAGCTCAAGGAAGTCAGATCTATGTTTTGGGGCTATGCCTTAAGGGATTAAGGGTTGAAATCAAGTTTTGGTTGATTGGGTGAGTACGCTGGGCGTACAAGCCCTCAATCGAGTACGATGCGCGTACGTGCTGACTAGGCCCCGCGTACTCAGTCTGTAGGGCTTCGCATGTTTAGGCTTCGGGTTTGGGTTATCCTTTGGGCTTAGTCGCTTGGGGACTTGTTGGGCCATCTGAATGCAAGATTTGTCCTCGCGATGAGTATTTTGTATGTTGTTACTTGTTATGTAGTATGAATTTGTATGTGGGCGGGACCCGTTAAGCGAGTTAGGGTGGGGCCCGTTAAACGAGTTAGGGCGAGCCCATTATACTCTTTGGGCGGGGCCCATTATGTGTTATATGTATGGTATGTGGTATATTGGGGAACACACTAAGCTTTGTGCATACAGTTTTCAGTTTATGTTTCAGGTACTTCCAATTCCAAAGGGAATGGCTCGGGATGATTGTAGAGCACACACCACCTCTTCCGCTTTTTGTGATTCACTCTGATTGATATGATGTTTGACACATTTATTTTATTTGGTTTGTATCGATGATGTTTTGGAAATACTGATTTTACTAAATTAAAAATGAAATTTTTGGGTCTTAATTTTGGGACGTTACATTTTCATTATAATTAGTTTATTTTATATTGAGCCTTTTAATTAAATGTGATATGTGGTTGAGATTTGTTCTCGCGTTCTCGATTACATAATTGTTCTCATTTGAATATATATATATATATATATATATATATATATATATATATATATATATATATATATATATATATATATATATATATATAGGAACTTTAAAATTGGTAGGAACCGTGATGACAAATCTTGGCCCTAAGATTGAAAAAATCAAAGGTGGAGATTTGATTTTATTTAGACAAAACTGCAAGATTAGTCCTTATGGTATTCAAAAAACTTTGGATAAGGTCCAAAAAGTTTTCAACTTGCAGGGAAGGTCCAAAATCAAGATTTTTTTTTCGGTTTTTGGTCCATGATACACTTGAAAAGTCGATTTTACCATTTTCATTTCTTTTTTCAGTTTTCTTTACTTATTTTGGTATTTAATTAATTAAAAATAAAAAATAAAAACTACATTCTCACCCAACATACACACACCTGCAACTCTAAACATAAACACACCTGCAACTCCAAGTACACACACATACACGGAACTCGAACACATACCAACATCAGGCCCATCACAAAAATCAAAATAAAAATGAAGCATAAACATTGATTACCATTAAAAAAATAGCTCCAGTCTTTCAAAATTAATATCGATGCTCCATCAAAACTTCATCTCAAATCATAAATAAAATTATTCAACATACTAATTCAATCAAAAGATCATTTAACATATTTAACCAACAACAATCCAACACAAATGTCATCCGAACACGGAATCAACTGAAATCTGGAAAATTACCCAAGAACACTTCAATGGAGAAAATCTTAAAAACTGGAACAAACCATAAAAATCTCAGAATCAAAAACTACTTCCCTGAAAACATGTCAGAGTTTCAAGATTTCTGAAAAGTATTCTGTCATAAGTTTCATTATGATTACTTAGAAGAAGAAAACTACAAACATGTAGGCTAAGAACTCTTGAACATATATTATTTCAAACTTCAACCCTAAGAAAATCATATTAAAGCGAGTTACAAGAGTTGTGATGTTGGTTTCGATCGTATTATCATCTAGGGTTTGGGAAATCTGGTTTGTTCTTTGTACTCTAGCCTGGGGAGATGGAATTTTCGGTAAATGTTAAATGTTTTGAGGGTTAAAAAGGAAAATCAAAAAGCAACAAAATAAAAATAAAATAAAATAAAATAAAAATCAGATTTTCGGAACCACACCCGCCTAGATGCGCCCCACCCACTCTCCCCCACTCTCACGCCAAGTGTCAGCTCCTCATTGGCTGGGTTTTTTTTTCTTCCACTCATTTTGTTTTTTGGCCATAACGTTTTTTTCTTTGAAAAAAAAATTCTGAAAAAAACCAAAGTTCTTAAAATTTAATTATCTACAAAATGAGCATAATCATGAAAATTTGAAAGAAAAAAAATATTTTTTATATTTATAAAAAAACCTAGAAAAAAAATTCTCCAAAAATTATAAAAATTTAAGGAATATTTCTACTCGCTATTCTAATGACTTTGTAAAAAAAATTCAAAAATAAGGTGTTTTATATACCAAACTTGATTTTAAAAGATTAAAAGTTTTTAAAAAAAATGTTAAACATAATAAGATCAAAATAAAGACGATTCAAAATATTTATGATTCAAAAATATTAGAATTCAATATGTTTATGATCGTTAACTTGTTATGATCTAAAAATACTTTTATTCAAATATTTAATGATCCTTAATTATTATATTTTTTATGATTCAAAATTAAATGATTCAAAAAATATAATGATCCAAATGTTGTATTGAACAAAACTTTATTCAATTCCATATATTATGATCCAAATTAATATGATCCAAAAATCTATGATGCATAATATTGTTATGATTCAAAATACTATGATTCAAAATTTTATGATCCAAAAATAATATCATTCAGAAAAAAGTATGAACCGAAAATATTATGATCCTTAATACTATTCTTATTTAAAATTTTATAATTGTTAAACATTAAAAACTCAAACCGATATTTAGTTTTAAAAAAATTCATACTATCTTCAAGTATGTAGTAAAGATATTAAAAAAAATGAAAAAAAGAAAAAATAATAATTTTTTTAAAAAAAATAATATTTAAAAAAAACGAAAAAAATAAAAAAAGATAAAAATAAATAAATAACAAAAAAAAGTTAAAAACATTAAAACCGAGCATATATCTATTTAAAAAAAATTGAATTTTTTTTAACAAAAAACAAAAAAAATACAAATAATTGAAAAAGAAAAGAAAAACTCATTTAAATGACGTTCCATTGACGTTCGTCGTACATAATTATTCATTCGCGTCCGTATTACGTTCCATGTACGTGCGAACGCATCACGACCAAGTAAATGGATTTGACGTGTGTGTCATTGACGAAATGATTGGTGGAGAATAGTTCTCGCAGTTCCTACCAATTTTTGGGTTCCTACCGGATCCGGACCCTCTATATATATATATATATATATATATATATATATATATATATATATATATATATATATATATATATATATATATATATATATATATATATATATATATATATATAATGTGAGATAGAAACAAGATCCACCTAACGCTCATTGAGCTTGGATAGCACATGATGTAACAACAGAAATCTTTACAAATATATTGAATCAAATGATGATGACTCAAATAATTGTTAGACATACTTATATAATTGAATCAATTGATGGTGACTCAAATAATTGTAAAACAATTCACAGGGACAAATCATCACTATGTGGACCTCATTGTACCCGTCGAGAGGTCTGTAACCGCTCTCTTTTATTTTTTATTGTTTTTACACTTTTACAATCCCTTTCAGTCATAGTCCAACTGCGAGCAAAGTTATCATTCAACATACGTACTAAACTGAAAATATATGTTCGAAAATACAACAGAATAAGGTTTTGATTTAACAAAAGACTATCAATCATTAAAACATCATGTGGAATATTCTCTTGACACTGATTAACAACCATTGTTTTTCTACTCCAAGACCCCACTTTTCTCTGGATGATTCTCACCTTATTCATGCAAGACTCAGTTTTCTTCAACTTCTGGGTTTTAGGTATTCAATGATATGGTAAATTCATCCCCCAAAACTAAAAGGGGTGATGATTTTCAATCAAGAAAATTTTAGTGACTTGTGAAGAGTTTGGTGAGTAGTGAAGGGTTTTTGGTGGGTAGTGAAAGGTTGGTGGATAGAACTGTAGTACCCTTTTCCTAACTTAATTCACTGATATTGCATATATAAAGAAAGTGTATAACTACTACCAAAGTACGCTGTAGTATTCCATCCAAAGTTCTTGGACTATCTCTCTCAGATTTCAGGTATTTTCTGTTTCTTTTATATTTTTTTTTATATCAAGATATAGAGAAAGCAAACCCTTTTCTTGTTTTGCTTAAAAGTTGATACTTTCTCTTGTTGGAACTTGAACCTTTTTAGTTTCTTGTAATCTTTCTTTACATCAAAAGGGTTATAAATTAGCTTTTAAGGATTGAATCCTGTGATTAGGAAATATATATGGATCTGCATTCCTTTTCAGTAGAATGATTTGGGCGTTTTTTAAGTGTCATATAACAAAGAGTGGGTAGAACTTAAGTGAGGTATAATGTGTATGACTACCCCAAGAAATCAATAAAGCTTTCTTTCACTAAAATCCCAATTTTTACCTATGGTTTTTTCTTATTTTGTTTGACAAGATGAATGGGGCTGCATTAGTTGCTATCATTGCCACAATTGGCAATCTTTTACAGGGTTGGGATAATGCTACAATTGCAGGTACTCAATTTGTTTCTCTTGGTTTTGAATCCAAATGAATTTCACTGTCTTATCAAACTCATTATTGGGGTTCTAAAGCATGGAATCCAAGATTTAGAATTTCTATAACATGTTTCCTAATGAATATAGGAGCTGTAGTTTACATAAAGAAGGAGCTAACTCTGGGAAGTACCATAGAAGGTCTTGTTGTTGCCATGTCACTAATCGGGGCGACCCTTATCACAACTTGCTCCGGACCCGTATCCGATTTTTTTGGTCGAAGGCCCATGCTAATACTCTCATCTTTCTTTTACTTCATCAGTGGCTTAATAATGCTTTGGTCACCAAACGTCTATGTTCTTCTTCTAGCTAGGCTTATAGATGGATTTGGAGTTGGTTTAGCTGTCACTTTAACCCCCATTTATATTTCCGAAACTGCCCCTTCAGAAAATAAGGGGATTGTTAAATACGCTCCCTCAGTTCACGGGATCGGGTGGAATGTTCTTGGCATATTGTATGGTGTTTGGGTTGTCTTTAATGGCTTCAACAAGCTGGCGATTAATGTTGGGTGTGCTTTCTATTCCTTCTCTTTTGTATTTTGTTTTGGCAGTTTTATATTTGCCTGAATCTCCTCGGTGGCTTGTGAGCAAAGGAAAAATGGGGGAGGCCAAAAAGGTCTTGCAAAGATTACGTGGCCGGGAAGATGTTTCAGGTGCATTATTTGTCTTCAAAGCTTTTCTTAATCTCCATCACAATAATCACTTTAGAAGCGCACATCCAAACATCCCCTTGGATCACATAAAGTGCAAGCCGCTAAATACCCAAATTTCCCCTTTTTTTTTCTTTCCACATTCTTGGGTGAGTTTCAAAATATAGCAAGTAGCTGTGACACAATTTGCATTACAGGCGAAATGGCGTTGCTGGTGGAAGGTTTAGCGGTTGGAGGTGACACATCAATAGAAGAATACATGATTGGTCTGGACAATGAAGATATCCAAGATCAAGATCCAATGGCTCATAAGGATTCAATCAAGTTATATGGGTCCCAAGCGGGTCTCTCGTGGATAGCAAAACCGGTCACCGGTCAGAGCACACTCGGTCTGGTTTCTCGGGCAGGAAGTATGGTGAACTCGAGTATTCCATTAATGGATCCTCTTGTCACCCTCTTTGGTAGTGTTCATGAAAAGCAACCCGAATCAGGAAGTATGAGAAGCATGCTGTTTCCAAATTTTGGTAGCATGATCAGCACCACCGCAGGGCCTCAGGTGAAAGACACTGATCGGTGGGATGAAGAGTTTTCACAGAACGAAGGTGAAGGGTACCAAACGGACGGTGGAGATGACTCCGATGACAATCTTCATAGCCCGTTGATTTCCCGGCAAACAACCAGCATGGTGGGTCCACATGGCGGTAGTAACACCGGAGAGACAACTTCCGGCATGGGGATTGGCGGTGGGTGGCAGTTGGCGTGGAAGTGGTCGGAAAGAGAAGGTGAAGATGGAACAAAAGAAGGTGGGTTTAAGAGAATATATTTGCATGAAGAAGCGGCGGCTCGTGGTGGGTCCCGCCGTGGGTCGCTTGTTTCGCTTCCCGGAAGCGGCGGCAATGTTGCGGTTGAAGGAGAGTATGTGCAAGCTTCGGCTCTAGTCAGCCAGCCTGCTCTTTATTCAAAGGAGCTCATGACTCAACCCCCTGTGGGACCCGCAATGATTCACCCTTCAGAAAGTGCTTCAAAAACGCCATTGTGGTCTGCGCTTGTTGACCCGGGGGTTTCACGGGCTTTATTTGTCGGGGTTGCGATCCAAATGCTTCAACAGGTAAGGGATTGATTATTTTTTATTTAACGGAGAAGCACTTAATCTAATGGTTGTTTCTTTTTTGACTTAATTCTTACACAATGACTTGATGAGTTAAAAAAACGGCTTAATGTATTAATTTCAATAACCATTTACCTATTTGCAATTCTTTTTTCCTCCCAACCCCTTTCACAATAAAGTTCATGAATATTGTAAAATTTGTTGGTTAGAATGTAAATCATTTAATCGGTCATAAAAGAAAAAGAAACAAACCTGATGTATACAACCTATTAACTAAACAGACATCATTACCCATTACCCATAATGTGAAGAAAATGAAACAACCCCCTAGCCAAGGGATGGTCTTTATAATGAAAGTTTGATTTTTGCAAATTTCTTGGATAAATTAACAAACATTTTCGGTTTTCTTAAACCAGTTTTCGGGAATAAATGGGGTTATGTACTACACGCCTCAAATCCTCGAGCAAGCGGGTGTCAGTGTTCTCTTATCAAGCCTTGGGCTCGGTTCCGATTCTGCTTCTTTTCTTATTAGCGCCTTCACAACTCTTCTAATGCTTCCATGTATTGCAATAGCCATGAGGTTCATGGATATTGCGGGGAGAAGGTACATTCAGGTTTAACTCACTGTGAAAAGACAAAAATGCCCCTCAACACATTAACAAACTGTCTTTTATTTTATTTGTTCAGGACTCTCTTGTTGACCACCATTCCCGTACTGATAGCATCTCTCATTATCCTTGTCCTCGGGAACACCATCAAGATGGGATCGGTAATCCATGCGGTTATTTCAACCGTATGTGTTGTTGTCTACTTTTGCTGCTTTGTGATGGCATATGGGCCAGTCCCTAACATTTTGTGCTCGGAGATTTTCCCGACACGAGTTCGTGGAATCTGCATTGCTATATGTGCGCTAGTCTTCTGGATATGTGATATTATTGTGACATATTCATTGCCAGTGATGCTCTCTTCAATCGGGTTGGCGGGCATTTTTGGAATTTACGCCATCGTGTGTGTCATTTCATGGGTGTTTGTGTTTTTAAAGGTGCCGGAAACAAAAGGGATGCCATTAGAAGTGATCACCGAGTTTTTTGCTGTTGGAGCAAGACAGGCTGCTGCAGCCAAGAGTGAGTGAAAAAAGAAATGCAATATTTGTGTTGATTAGAGTTTTTGGTTGCACTATTTCTTGAATGTAGGGCATGTATATTGTATTCGAGTTCAATCGAGCTCGAGGCTCAATTCATTAGAAAATATGTAGATTCAGCTTGGTTTGGCTAGGCTCAACTTGTAGCTTGCTAACCCTGAAAAGATTGGGATCAGGATCGACTTGCATAATGATCAAGCCTGAGCTCATGAGCTCATGTAGATTCAATTGCTATTGACTTGTCGATTGGCTCGGTTTGTATGGGATGCTAAGTTTTATGAACTAAATAATTATGAATAATGTTATATTTAAGGAATATGTTCTATCTAGATAAAGAACTTTGTTTGAAACAAGTGGTACATACAAATGTATTGTTTTCTTAAGACAGTTGGCTAAAGATTTCTTTTTGGAGGACACGGTCATATAAAATCATGGCAGTATTGTGGGAAAATGTGAGAGCTTGCTATTACCTACAGATAAGTCTGTATGATTAAATTACTTTAAACAAACAACCTTATATGATTTGTTGGATAATAACATAAGCTTAAATAAACATCCTTTGGGTATACATAAGCTTGTGACAATTGGTGTTAGTATGAAAGATATTTTCTCCTCAGGAGATGTTATGATTCATAACTTTAGCTAATCACATGCTACTGCTAGCCTTGAAGTTAGGCGAGAAGATTCAAGCCCAACTTATTTAAAGATTTATTTGAATTTTAGCTGATACACCATGTGTTTGGATGTCCGCTAACTGCTCCCGTGAATAAATGTCCACCAAATCCACGTTAGGCTTCCGTTTGATGAAATGTAGGTTAATCTCAATGTGTTTAGTATGATCATGTTGGACTAGGTAATTACCTATTGCCCGAGTTTCTTGTACAACATCATAGGTATAAATTTTGTACCAATGTCGAATGATCATGATTACCCTTGTTGGTGTGTATGTTAAAAAATAATTACATGGTTATGCTTCAAAGGTACCATATTATTCGTATTTACATACTCCTATGATTTTACTTTTGTTTTATTACAACTCAATTATGCTTGTCATAGCAATATGAACATTAGAATATTGGTTTGAATAATTCTTGATCTCTTCTCATTAATGTGTGCAACACATATATACAAAAGATGTATAAACATGGGACCGTACTAGTAAAGTAATACATGGGCCGGAGAATAATACAACATGACTAATACGCTTTCGCAGTTTGAGTGGGAGTGTGGTGAACACTTAAACTAGAACGCAATTCGATGAATAGAGGAAACGACAACCCCTTAGTGAAAATATCAATATTGGTACCGAAAAGGGAGAAAATGGATGCCAAGCTCGATGTGTTTGGTCCGTTAGTGCTAAACCCGGTTAGCTGTCATGTATATAACACTGACATTTTTGCATTAAATAAGGGTGGTAGTGTGTAAGGGGGCATGAAGCTCTGGAAAAAGGTTACACAACTAAGCTATTTCATCGACAACATTGAAGACGCCTGGATACTCGGTCTCGATGCCTGGGAGACGGTGTATTGTCATTTGGACGACCACGACACTAGGTTGTCACCAAGGAAGACCCCAACAATCAAAGGCGGATCGACAAGTGACCTAACACCCCTGATCCACGTTCGAATAAGTTGTGAGAGTTATAGTGAGGGAGGCATAAAGCCAAATTATGTGTTCGATAATGTCGTTGATGTAGCGCATAATGCCCTTGAGGGCATGAAAGTGTGGTTCTCGAGGGTCATATATGTAGACACAAATCTGGTAGACTGCAATGGGGATGTCACACCGAGTGAATTCAAGCAAGTTGTGTTACGAAGTGAAATTCAAGAGAAAAAGAGAAAAAATATACCCTGATACATGGGTGGATTGTACCAAGAAACATTTTGAGAAGCTAGACTTGCAACCTGATCGGTCCTTTGAAGAGGTGTGTAAGTTAGCTTCTAAAATCAAGAAGCATGCTAAAAATAAGACAAAATTGCAAGTTTGGTCCCTGTGGTATGTCAAATATTGGATGTTTGGTCCAAATATTTTAGAGTTGCACGACTGGTCCAAAAAGTGAATTCTATTGCAGATTTGGTCCAAATGTTTTTGAAACAACTTAAAATGACTGATTTACCCATCATATTTTGTTTTTGTAACGATCCAATTTTTCCAAATAAAATTTTTCATTATTAAATAATCAAAACATTCCCATAAACCATAAAATCTCAATGATAAGTGTTTTTAAATTCATAACATCAACATTTTATTTCAAACATCAGAGTGTCCCCATAAAAGTGTCTGAGAGAGAGTGTGTGCTGCGCTATCAAACCTTGCCCTTGCCCTTAGGCTTAGAAGTACCTGAAACAATCAACAAACTGTAAGCTAATGCTTAGTGAGTTCCCCATAGCATCCCCCACACAATCCACATAATCCATAATAGCTATAAAAGTTACATAAACCACAAGTTGTGCATACAAACATATAAGGATGTCGTAGGCTCCTCCCAGGGTCTTACTCCAGGATGTCATGGGCTCCTCCACATGGTCTTGCACCTAGGTCCCATGGGCTCCCCCGTGATCTTTAATTGGAAA